GTAGCAGGGTTTGGGTTGGGTAATTTTAATTGGGATTGGGCTGGTATTGGGTTGAATTTGGGGCTAAAATTGAAATACAAATAGGCCATATTTTAAATAGCCACTTTTTAATATATACATAATTTATAAAAATGATAAATGGGTTTCAAAAAATATTTTCATGTACTAAAATGATTTAAAATAGTTATTATAAAATACCATTTTGTGCGTCAATAAATTAATTATATGTTAACACGGGCTATTATTGCAAAGATGCACAATTTAGCCTAAAAATGTAAATACAATTATAAAAAATACACTAAAATATTTAAACAATTATGAGGGCATAAATAATGAATTTAAATTACTAAATCATCACAAAAGTAATTTGAAGGATAATTATTGGATGTTTTATAAATAAAAGAGAAGAAATAAATTAATTTGGAACTTTTTAAATTATGGGAAAATTATAAAAATGTTTTTGCATGTTTATAACTGCATATGTGCTATTTTGAAAGTATATATATGTATTTAAAAAATATATGAGGAAAAATTGAGTATCAACAATAATTTCAATTAAGGATAATCAATTACGGTAGAGATACATGAAAATGAAAGAGGAAACAAATTCAATTAAGACATATAAGAGTATATTTAGAAATAAAGGGGTGGAACATGAACTGATCAACTTCAAATAAGACATGTAAGGGTAAATTTAGCAATGGAGGATTTAAGATGATAAGACAATTTTATTTTAATGTACATAAGAACCTAAGAGTCTAAACCGATTAATTTTCACATATAAGCCGTGCATACACTTGCCACCTCGTGTACACGTCTTTCATGTAGTTCAGATAGTGCAACAATCAATCCCTATGGGGTAGTTTCCCTCACACGACGTTAGGTAAGATACTTACTTTAATAGCCCCTAATCAATTCTCAAATATAGCTTTTCCTTTACAATTCACCTCCACTCGGCACAAATCTAACCAAAATTGATTTAATAACATCAAATAATGCAAGAGAAATCAATTCCAATGAATAAAGCTATGATCTTTATACAATTTCTCAAAAGTCAACAAAAGTTAACCCGGGACCTGCTCGGTCAAAATCTAGGTCCAATGGTAGGTTTCGACTACCCATGACCCCACGAGTTCATATATGTGATTAGTTTCAAAATTCGAGTCCAAATCAACTCTGAAATTCTTATTTTCCAAAAACTTGACAAAGTTTCACAAATTTTCACTTTGATTATGATTTTGATGTTAAAATCCAAGATATATTGATGGAATATGATTAGAATCACTTACCCAAGGTTTATAGATGAAAATCCCTCTTCAAAATTGCCTCCTACCGAGTCTAGGGTTCCAAATTATGCAAATGAGGCTAAAAATCTCGTCCCTCAACTTTTTGTCCAGTTGCAGGTGTCGCAAATGCGACCTTTGCGAATCCCGCAAATGGGAAGAAACAATTGTAAAAATGAATCTCTCCCATTCCTGCTATCATCGCAATTGCGATGAAAAGTCTGCAATTGCGAACATGGACACATCGCAAATGCGACCAAGAAGATCGCAAATGCGTACCACCTACCCAGGCTACCCCATCACAAATGCGATCACTGGGATTGCAAATGCGAACCTAGCAGACCTTGCCTAATTTGCAAATGTGAGACCTGAGGCATCTAATCACACTAGCAAAATTCCAAACTCTTCCAAACATTCCAAAATGCGTCTGAAACTCAGCTGAGCCCTTGGGGCTCCAAACCAAACATCAACACAAGTCTAAAAATATAACACAAACTCGCTCGCGAAATCAAATCATCAAAATAACATCTGAAATTATGAATTGGACCTCAAAACACATGAATTTAATAGGAAACTCAAGAACTTCTAAAAACACAAATGCGCGTCTGATTTTTATCAAATCAACTAGGAATAATGCAAACTTTATGAAAAAGTTTCAAATGAAAAAACGGACTTATTACAAGTCCTAAAATAGAAATCCAAACACGATAGCTATAAAGTCAATCTACGGTCATACTTATAAAAATTCTAAGCCTTAAAATGGCCAACTTTTGACAAAATAACACAATTCAACCTACGGACATCCGAAATCGATTTTGGGCATACGCCCAAGCCCAAAATCACGATACGAACCTATTAGAGCCATCAAAATACCGCTACGGGGTCGGTTTCACAAAAGTCAAACCTCAGTAAATAGTTTTCACTTAAGCTTCCAAAGTGAGAATCACTTATCCAAATTTATTCTGAATCATCCAAAAATCAAATCCGAGCATGCACGCAAGTCATAATACACAATAGGAAACTATTCAAGACCTTGAACCACTGAACAGAATCTTAAAGCTTAAAATGACTGGTCAGGTCATTATAATATCCAGAGTTACAACAACTATAGGGGTAACAAGTTACTAAGTCATGCTATGAAAGTTCGGGAGAGAGTGGTGGAAGTGAGGGTGATGAGGACAATGTCTATATCCGACTACTAGTTCGGGTTCATGCCGAGTCATTCGACTATGAAAACGATCCACCTTATTAGGAGGTTGGTGGAACATTATAGGGATAAGAAGAAGGATCTGTACATGGTATTTATTGACCTGGAGAAAGCATATGACAAGGTCCATAGAGATGTTCTTTGGAGATGCCTGAAGGCAAAAGGTGTGTTGGTTGCTTACATTCGGGTGATTAAGGACAAGTATGATAGAGCTAAGACTCAGTTAAGGACAATGGAAGATGACTCGGAGCATTTTCGAGTTGCAATGGGGTTACACCAGGGATTTGCGCTAAGGCCATTCTTATTTGGTGTGGTGATGGGCATACTGACACACCATATTCAAATGGAAGTGCCATGGTGTATGTTATTCGCTGATGACATAGTTTTGATTGATGAGACGTGAGGTGGCATTAACGAGAGGCTGGAGATTTGGAGACAATCCCTTGAGTCTAAGAGTTTCAAGTTGTGCAGGACTAAGACAGAGTACCTGGAATGCAAGTTTAGTGGCAAGTGGAGGGAAGCGGTCTTTGACGTGAGGCTTGGATCACAGGTCATCCCCAAGACATGCAGTTTTAAGTACTTTAGGTCGGTTATCCAGGGGAAGGGGGAATCGATGAGAATGTCATACACTGTAGGGGTGGGGTGGATAAAATAAAGGTTAACATATGGAGTCCTGTGTGACAAGAAAGTGTCATTGATACTCAAAGGTAAGTTTTATAGAGCAGTGATCAGACCAGCCATGTTGTATGGGCAAAGTGTTGACCCATATCTAGAAGATGAAAGTAGCAGAAATGAGGATGTTGAGGTGGATGTGAGGGCACTCTAGGATGGATAAGATTAGGAATAAAAATATTTGGGAGAAGGTGGGTGTGGCTCCTATGGATGACAAGATGCGGGAAACAAGGCTTAGATGGTTCGGGCAAGTGCGAAGGAGAAGCCTAGATGCCCCGGTCAAGAGGTAAGAGTGGTTGGATTTAGCGGGTTCGAGAAGAGGTAGAGGGCGGCCTAAGAAGTATTTGCGAGAGGTGATCAGGTAGCACATGGTGTGGCTTCAGATTTTCGAGGACATGGCTTTCGATAGGAATGTGTAGAGGTCGAGCATCAAGGTTGTAGGTTAGGAGGTAACTGAGAATTTTTCTACTTTGTATTGTGGGTGAGGCTAGTCTGATAAGGTTTTGTCTTAGGCTACTGGCGATTATTGTTGTGTTCACGTTATTCTTCCGTTTTTCATAGTATCGGGCATTGTTCACTAGTGATTATTATTGTTTTTCATCTATTCTCCTATTCTTATGATGTTGTTATTATTCCTATAGTTTCTGTTGATGGTACTAATATATTGTCTCTTTCCTTCTTCTTGAGCCGAGGGTCTATCAGAAACAACCTCTCTACTTCCCGGGGCAGGAGTAAGGTCTGCGTACACATTACCCTCCCCAAACCCTACTTGTGGAATTCACTGGATTGTTATTGTTGTTCTTATTATTCTTAATCTTCTTCACCATGTTCAATTCTTGATATTTTTGCCTTTTACTTTCTGATTATATTTATTTTGAAGGAATTTTAAAATGTTAATATAATTAATTTAACTAAGAGTATATTAATGAGAGTAAATTAGTTAAATTGTAATTTTTATACTTCTGTTAATAAATGAAGACAATTATTACAAAAAATTTAAATAGGTAAAGTCAGCGTAATATCATTAATCACAAGGAAAGCCAGTGTTACGAGGCAAAATCGGGAGGGAGATCTATGAAATGAACTCTTTTTATTAAGAAAATTAAGATAGCTACGTCATTTTCAGGCTAAAATAGCATTTTCCGGTGACTTTAATATTTATGTTAAGTAGGGTTTAGAAAGATAATTTTTGTCTTTGAAAAAAGTTAACGTTTGTGTTATAAAGCTTAACTTGAATGACTATCGGTGAAATTCACCCTCCATTTTCTTTTGCATATACAAACTTAAATAGAATACACTTGCAACAATTCTGCTCAATCGGAGCATGCAGGTTCCATTACGAGAGTAATCATGTTGGACATTTAATATCAAATCAGTCAATTTAATCCTAACAGTAAAAAATTAAAGTGAGAACACACATCATTTTACCATGATTATTAAGTAATAAATGAGTATATAAAAGCCACGTGCCTTGCTTTTATTGGTATAGTATATATTGTTCGAATAATTATTACTACCTATTATGGGATAATATTCTAGAACACAAATAAAGATGCATAAAATACCAAGTGATCACTAAGTGGGAGGCTTGGACCATTTGTTTTTTTTTTTTTTAAACGAAAGAACTATATTGAAATATTATGAACCCAAAATATTAAGATTTTGAGAATGTATAGGGATGGATTGTTGTAATTGTTGTTTGACGGGTTTAGGAATGGATTCAAATATTTGTCACGTTAATTCCTACTCCTACTTTACAACAATGACAAAAACTTTAGGGTGAAATCTGCAATTTCCACATCCTATTGGACTATAAGGAGTCTTTAATAAGACCCCTCATATACACGAGTTCAAAACTTGTAAACAAAGAACTCAAAACCCTAGCTTCGCACAAAATCCCTCGGCTCTTCAAAGTTTCTCTGTTCTGTAGTTTTCTTCCTTGCTGAAGAATCAGTCGGTGAGGTACACTATTGAACTTTTGTTTCTTTTTCTCTTACTTTGCCCTTTTACTGCGTTTTTTTTTTTGAAATAGTTGTCTTTCTATCGCTACAATATGCTCCAAGAAATACAAAATCCATATTGCATTATGTAATTTTGATTTGGGATTCGTGTCCCGCATCTTTTACTTAAGACATACCACAACAATTCAAAAAATAAAATAAAAAGCTTTGTTAATTTTGAGAATTTGTTATATTCCAGAACTAAAGGGTTAATTGCTCCTGTTTTACTCCTTTTTGTTATGTTTTTTTTCCCTGGAGCTGATTGTATTGAAGGAAGTTGACCAATCTTAGGGAAAGAATCATTTTTTGTACTAAATTTCTGATCTTGGAGCTTGACAATTCAAAAAGTACTAACTTTGATCCTGAAGAATCACTTTTTGTACTAAATTTCTGATCTTGGAGCTTGACAATTCGAAAAGTACTAACTTTGATCCTGAAGAATCACTTTTTGTACTAAATTTCTGATCTTGGAGCTTGACAATTCGAAAAGTACTAACTTTGATCCCGCTCTGTAATGCTAGCAAGTTTTCTCAGTTAAAAGAAACAATTTTTTTTTTCTTTTCAATTTGATGAAAAGCCTTGGTTAAAGGTATTAGATTTGTGATTTATGGGAAACAACAATTTAACTTAAAGGGACATGAGTTGAGAAAACACCACAACCAATTATGAAGACATTTATCTATGGAACTGCCAATCTTTTTTATAGTGGGATTTGTCTTGTACTGCAAGTGTGCAATTCAGTGGTACGTTAAGGGTGTTGTGGGATGAGCACATTTTGTTGATGGCAAACAGCATTTTCTTACCTGTATGATCTTCAGTTAAGTTTAAAGTCTTTCCGGAGGATTTTTTTTTAATTGTTTTTTCCGGAGGATTATCATTTGGTTTACACTAGAAAAGTTTGTGCTCTGGTTTTAGGTGGATGTATTCACATAAAGTATGTCCTGGAATATTTTAGACTAGTTTGAGCCTTATTAGACCTAAGGCTGGGATCTCATGAAATGCCTTTCCTGTGATTCATCTCTCTTAAATGTTGATTTTTAATGGTTATCAACCTGAAAAGTCAAAACGTGGTGACTGTACGTCTTTGTATTGTGCGGTGTCCACCTCCAAGATAGGATATGCCTTTAGGTGTCAATTTAAGCCATCTTGAGCTATTCATTAGAAGATAATATCTTCTTGTTGTCTTCTCGTTTACTTTAGTTTGTAAAAGTCGTTTGAGGTCTGGAGGACACATATATAAAGAGCTCTTACGTTTCTTTTGTAATGAGTGGTGGAATTCATTTAGAGTTTGCACAAAAAAAAGAGAGGCTCTTTCTATACCTCATGATCTACTAGAGTAGTTGTAAAGTTCCTTGGGCATCTTTTAAAGCCCAGTTAGATTTATTTAGTGCTTCCTTCTTAAGTCGTTTAGTGTGCTCTAGACTTGCCTCTTAGAGAGATGTATATCGAAAAATGCAAGCTCATGCAAGTTTGATCCTTTGCTATGGTATTTGTAGTTGGTTCATATATAACATGCCTTGGATCTGAAAATATTAAAACCCAAAAGAGTCCAGAATTTTCTGATGCGCATGAGGGACTTCGCGCTGTGATGGCTGAGCTTGCAGGGGTCCCCGCTAATGATGCTACAGGAAAAACTTGTAGAGCCCAGGGTTTTGATCCCTTCCTGCGAAAGTTAAACAACTCTGCATGTGCTGTGGAGAATGCTGGATAGGCCTTACGAAGACGTAGCAGTAAATCGGTTTTATGGTCTATTACTGAATGGAATACTCAGCACACCCTGCATGCAAATTTGTTTTAACTTTTGAGGGTAGACTTGAACTCCAAAATGCGCGACATCTTCCTGAATCTGATCCCACCCAGTTGAAAAGGATGTCTTGTCCGGTAATGGGCTAGAAGCTGATTTATTTACTCGATGACGGGCCTATCAAACAAAGTTTGAAATACAATCATCTTAAAAGTTGAATTAGGACGCCCAGAAATTGCAAAATCAATTGTAGTTGAAGACTCAGAAAACCATTTGAATGTTGCAATCAGATTTCAGTTTTGAGTCCTTTTCTATATCAGAAAATGTGACTTTCCCTTTAAAATGCTTCTAGGGGAAAAAATCTGGTGGTAGGTAGTGGCTACATTCTGATACTTCAATTTTCTTTGCCAATGCATACACTGTTAACTCTCTTGTGTCAAATGATACTGTAACTTACTCGGACGGTAGTGTTTTATACTGGTTTTGTAAGTTGTATCCTGATAATTTACTGCTTTTGAGATGCTAGAGTAAGGAATCAAAAATGAGTGGAACAGGAGAGAAAGGATCAGCAACCACCAAAACTCCAGCAGATTTTCTTAAATCTATCCGTGGACGGCCTGTTGTTGTTAAATTGAACTCAGGTGTTGACTATCGAGGTTAGTCACTCTGGTTCCTTTTCTTTCTTATATTTCTTTTGAACTTACTTCAACAACATGACTAAACCATATTATCACGTATACTAGTAACAAATGTAGCGGTAGTTGACCTTTTCTCGCCTCAGGATTTGTATTTGGACCTCTAATAATTAGTAACAAGAGTAGATGAAATGTTCCTTGAGATACTAAAGCTTTGACACAGCATTAAGGTTCTAGTAGAGTGAAAAATGTTGAGTATTCTCACATTACAGATGTGTATTTTCTTATCATCACATTTCAAATATTTGGTAGTCCCTGTTATGTAAGATGACCACCATTTGCCTTATCAAACAAACAATGACAACCGTTTGCATTGACTATTAATGGTCTATAGATCAAACTGGCGGTCATCCCAATTTACCTGTGTAATAAATATCTAAACCGATGGATTGTAAAATAGGTGTTGCTCTGTAATAAAATTGTACTAATACTTTATGAAAAATTGATCTTTGTGGTAGGCGTCTGTGACTTGCATTCTGGGAGAGAAACTAAGCTTTTTGCCCTGAAGTTAATAATCATTTGATGCAATTAACATACTGAACATTCATTCTGAGATTTAACCATATGTGAAAGTTGGAAATACTGTATTCAAAGTTTATGTGCACTGTGTAACTGGTTAGTATACTTTATTGTCCTCTAGATCTCCTGTATGAATGATTGGTTTTATTAGTTGTTTTATATATTTGCCAATGGGTTCCTGAATAATATGTTATGTGGAGAGAAATCTTTATATGAATTTGACTTCACTGTCCTTTCTTGGTGCTTATGAATGCTTCATTGCATTGTTATTTGGTATTTCTCTCCTTCTCTGCAATATATTCTTGATGTAGAGTATCTTAGAATGGGAAATTTTCAGCTACAATCCTTCTGAGCCATCACATTCATGGATTCAGCTCCTCTAGTGAGCATCTTCTCCTGCTCGTCCCGTTCCACTTTAAATTTTTTCACATTTTTACCTTTTACAATTCAATGGATTTGATTTATTTTACCAATTAGTATACTTTAGCCACAGTTAAAAGATAATCTTTCCAATCATTCCGCCAATGACTTATACTGTATTTTGGCGGAAAGATTATGTTTTAACTATGGTTAGACTATATTGATTAGTAAGATAAATCCGATTATTGAATTGTTAAAGGATCACATGTCAAAAATTTAAACTAGAACTGGATGAACAGGAGAGGCTGCTCACTGGAGACAATATGACACGTCAAAATGGGTCACTAATTAAGTTTTATGGTTACGACATCAGTGAAAAAATCATAACACATGACCCAAATGGAGATACGTTTGCAGAATAGTTTAATGAGAGTCAACCGTAAAGTTGTACCAGTACTAATTTTGAGCTAGTATATGAAAATTAACCCACCATGCCTGCTACCAACTGTGGTGTTCATGAAACATGGTGGAGGTCCCTTTGTTTATGGAAAGAGACTAGACAATATTAAGTTTCCTGAGGGAGACCGATGATTTGTAGACTGAGGGGAAGAATGCTCTAACTGACTGAGCTACATCAGTTCTATCATGATAGATTTGGAAGAAAAAGGATATAATTTCGAGTCTGACAGTGAATGGGAGAGAGGGAATGTGAAAGACTGTTGACCATGGTTATGATGTTTGAATTAATACAATAAATCCATTGAATTTCATATGGGATATGAGTCAAAAAACTTTAGTATAGAACTGGAGGAACTTAAGACGATACTAACGGGCTATGTTGCTCGGACTCTCCAAAAATGTTGCTGCACCCGTGTCGGATCCTTGAAAAATACACTATTTTTGGAGGATCAGACACGCAGACACGCACCTGATGGCATTTTTGAAGAGACCGAGCAACATAGCTAACGGGTGAGGAGCCAAGTCTTACATTACAATTTACATACACCACATGCTGCATGTATGCTGCAAGGCTTATCCACATTCATTTATATATGCCACTACTCCTTTAATATCTGCACTTGATGACTCCAAACAACAAAAATAATGACTGCGCATCAATCTCAAAGCAAGTTTGGGTCGGGTATATTAATATTGAATCCTCACTGACAATGTCACTCTATTTAAGCTCATCGTAGATCAATATTATACGGAATAAATGTACTAGAAGCTCTCTAATTCATCATTAACACTGACTAGCTTTACGATGGCTGTCAGCCTACCGCAAACTACCTCCTTTGTTCGGGCTTGGGACCAGCAATATGAGCAAGCTCATGCAAGCTGGTGTTAACTTTTTCTTTCAACCTGCATAGTTACATGGTAAGGCGGAAGCTTTATTAGAGTGAGGTCTTCACATGCAATCTAGCTGAAAACCTGACTGCTGGCCTAAGTTAAATATCATTGCAAATTGCTGAAAATCTTCAGCTGGTAATGTTCATTTTTCAATATGTTGGAGGAAAACTCTAATTCAAGTAAATGCTAATTGTTCTTCACATGCAATCTAGCTAAAAACCTGACTGCTGGCCTAAGTTAAATATCATTGCAAATTGCTGAAGATCTTCAGCTGGTAATGTTCATTTTTCAATATGTTGGAGGAAAACTCTAACTCAAGTAAATGCTAATAGTTATTGTATGGTGTAGGTATCCTAGCCTGCTTAGATGGATACATGAATATAGCAATGGAACAAACAGAAGAATATGTAAATGGGCAATTGAAGAACAAATATGGTGATGCCTTCATACGGGGAAATAATGGTAAGCAAAAAACTCGTTATCTAACTCTGCACTAGTTTACCTATGCCTCTAATGATCTGAAGGTAATATTGAAAGTTTTTTCTGCATGCAGTGCTTTACATCAGCACATCCAAGAGGACGCTGGGAGAGGGAGCTTAGCATCGTGCATACGAGTGATTGGTCCTAATTATCCTGGCAGTTTTAATTATGTAACCGACTTTTCACGACTTGTTTATGAATTTTCCTCTGAATGTTGTAATTTGTGTAGGTTTTGGTAGACCATCGATGTTATCTTGATTGCTGTTTCTTTACTGAGTCAATGTCATTTTTCCCATGGCCAGGATGAAGAAATAGCAAACTTTTCATGGTGGATCTGTATTTGTGTTCACAGTTCCATTCTGACTTTATTTGGATAATAGATTGCATATATAGTACTTGTCTTTGATTCACCTAATCTACAAATTTGCGATATTGGTTTAGTGTAGCCTTAATGTTTAAATGCCACTTGTCAGTCTTCAGCACCCCGCTTCTTCTTTGGGTTATTAAGCGCAGAAAACGTTTCTCTGCATCTGGTGTTTAATGGATACTTGACATGTGTGTTCGGCTGTTCGCCTACTGTAAAAAGTTACTGCACTCGGTGTTTATACTAAATCAATGGATGTATAATATGTGGCTTTCATATACACATGTCACTTAATTATAGTATAATGATATGTATTCTCACTTTAGTTTTAAACAGCATAAGATAAATTGCTTAGTTTTGTGTAAATACGTGGGTACGTATTTACTACTAATATCACTAAATGAGAGGTAGTTAATATATATTTTTACTTCAATTTATTACTTAACTATGGTATTGTAATATTAGTGTTAATCGAAATTCTTGTTGGCTCTAGAAAATTTAAAGAGCATTCAGCGTATTGGAATCTGCTTCTGCTTCTCTATCTATCCTGAAATATCTCAATGGCAATGAATCCTTACAAATTGGAATATCAAGCGATACGTAAAACTTGGCATCTATTGAGAACTTAGAATCTAGCCTAGTTGGTACTGCAAGATATTAGATTCTTTCTTATTAGAATTATGAAATACGAAAAATGGCTTTCTTTGCATAAAAGGCAAGTATTTACATTATTTTATCTAGAGGTGTGCATGAACCAGGTTGGTTTGATTTTTATCAAAACCAAACCAAACAAAACCAACTACATCGGTTTGGATTGGTTCGTTTTGTCGAATTTTTCGGATTTTTTTATTATATGAATATTGTTTCAATCTTCCTTTATTGAATTTTTTATAAGTAAACATATGATCTATTAAAATGTTCTTATGGAAGAATTTTCTTAGTAACACATGATAGTTATTTTTAATTGGCTGACAATAATTTTACATTAATGTAAACTTTCAATATTAATCGAATTTAATAATTAAACATAAAAATAAATATGAACCTATGTAATGATATGTTCTATTTAATTTTAGATTATCGAAATAGCATTTCAAATTCGAAAAAGATATAAGAATTTAACAAATCTTGACATATAAATATGGAAGAACGAAGAGATTGATACATTTCACTAACACTTGATAAGAAAGTGATCGTACAACTCATTATTGAAAGTTAACAAATATGGAGCACTTCATATTTAACTAAATATTACGTCCCATAAGAGAATCACAAATATTTTTAAATATTTTTTAAAGAAAATTCTATAAAAAGTCTTAGAAGTATATATAAAAATTATATATTTATATATCGGTTTGGTTCGGGTTTTTTCACTTAATGCCAAACCAAATCAAATCAAACCTAATTGGATTTTTTAATCGGTTTGATTTGACTTTTCGATTTGTGCGGTTTTCGATTTGGTTTGTACGCCCCTTATTTTATCCCTAGTAGTTTGTTTGACCAAAAATACACAATTCTACTAATTGAAGTTTAAATATATGCTATTAACCAAACCTTTTTATCACTCATTTTGCTTGAGGTTTATTTATTCCTTTTGCAATTGTCATCATCTCTCTTAGGCAATCACCTTAGGCTTACTCTACTGAAGAGCTTTTCACCCAATTTTCCTCGTTATACTCGTGTCACAAGACCCCTGCTGGCCATTTTTTTTTTTTTTTGCTTTTCTAATACTATATGCTAGTCAGAGAGGTTTATACGTTTATGCACTTATTGGTTTGGCGTTTACACAATGTACAAGTAAAGATTTTTTTCGTAGTAGATATACATTTTCAAAGCTATTTAGAGAACTTCATAAAAGGTTTTGCACATACCTCAAGGAATATAATATAATATACTCTTCCTACCTTCCAAGCCTTATATCACATCCATATATAAATTTCTTTTAAAGTATATAATATATAAAGCTCTTTCTCTCTCCACCATTGTCCCCTTATTTTTTCTTAATCTCCAAATTATGGGAACCTTCAAGAAAATTGGTCAAGGAGCTCTCCAATTTATGGGCCATGCCATCTCGAAAATTGGTCAAAGTTTTCAGGGTGTGTATAAACCGCTTTTCAAACATCAACCATATATTTTCAAGAACTTCTGTATTGTTTGTCATGTTACGTAGAGTGATCATAAGGGAATTTTTGTTGTTTAACCATCTTGGAGTACATTGAGTCGGGCTAATCTGGATATATACGCACTGGGTAGGCCTATTAAGGGGGTAAAGCAAGAAGTTTTTCATTCTAAATTTTTACAAGTGAAACTGCTATATTGCATCTTTATCCTTTCTAATGCTTTTGTCATTTATTTTGCAGGAAGAGATGAGAAGATTGACAATGAAATTATAGAAATATGCTACGACAAGTATTTTAGATGGACGTCTGCTGATTTTTACCATGCAATTTGCCAAACGGTCGAGTAAAATAGTTATTCATATTACTAATATATAATATTATGTGATGTAATTGATTGGAAAGGAATTCATTTCTTCTTTAAAAAAGATTAAACAAATTTATCTTTGAGAAAAGGATTTTTAAATATAAAAAAAAAAGTAGCTAAAATGTGATCTATATTGTTTGCAACTTGTTTATATATTGTTGTTTAATTTACCTAAATTTTATGATCTTTATGTTTACAGAAATTTTAACCATGCCTGATTTCATTATTGCAAATTGATCACCATTGCCCCCATCCAGAAGAAAGTTTAAAGTATTATTTTGTGGTCATCGAGAAGAAAATTTAGTTTATTTTTTTTTAATCAATCACAAGGATAAAAGAAGAAAAAAAACAGAAGAAGAAAAGAAACTAAAAGTTTTTCTTTCTCTTTTATTTTTGTTTTCTGTAGAGAAATTAATAGAAGGCAAGGGAGTACGCAAATTAAGATTCCAAGCACTACAACTCTAATGGAAGTATACAAAGTAAGTTTCTCGCTGTCTAGAAATTTCATATCATATTTAATTCAAATTCATAATATATTTTTTTGGGGGAGGGGGAGGGGGGAGGTGTTTCGTGATGGGTGATTATTATAATGAATAAAGTTTTATGATTTACTGTTAAAACGAGTAATATTTTATAAAATTTAAAGTTACTTTAATGTAACAAAAAATAGTCACCCCATCTTGTCGTTAAATAATTAGAACAATTTTGGTGTTTTTATTTTTCAGAAGTATCACAAAGTGAAAGGAACAAAATTGACAGAGGATGAGTTTCGAAAAATTCTTCGTGAACTAATACATGAATCAGAAGTAATTGGATATGGAGCCAAAGATACATTGTTTTATCTATTTGGAGTTCCTGTGACAGCATTATTCATCAAGCAAAGAATAAAGCCACAAGCAATTTCAGATGAGATTTTCATTCCTGCTGTTACTTCTGCTACTGTACTTGTTCTTGCCAAATTCAATAAGGTCTAATAATTCAAAACAATTTCATCAGTTTTACCGATTCGAATATGTATAACAATCACTAAACTTCAGTCTCAAACAAGTTGAAGAACTGATCCGTATGTGTAGATACAATTAATTGCAACCATTTAACATTTATATGTTCTTTTTATTTTCAGAGATCTGTTTAAATTTTATGGATCGACAATATTATACATATTTACAATTTCAAGTCAAATATATTGCAGTCAGAATAAATATTAATGCTTAATAACTTGGTGAAAATGATCTAATATGTTATCACCAATTAGACTACAATGATAGTATAAAAAACCTTACATGATTAGTGTATAACTTAAATCCATTATTGTTTTATGTTTGTAGTGTTAATTCGTGGGTATATCTTTCCTATAAACTGAAGAGTTGGGGGACTATCTATATATATATGTGGTTGTAAATGTTAAAAAATGAGTTTCTATATAATAACCAGAGATTTGATCAATAAGATTAATTTGGTAAAAGGATTTATACAAACCAAAAGGCTCTTAGCTTTATGTCACGTCCTTAGTCTTGAACTAAGCGCACGTTCGGCACTTGATAACTTTCTCACGATCTTGCACACCTTGCGCAAGATTTTGCTATGCCAAGTTAGCCTAAAATATTATACTCAAGATCGCTAAGGGAATGCTAGATAAGAAAGACAAGAGAAAGTTGCTAAATGAAGCTTGTTATTATAGAGAACTTGATTGTTTTGTTTGATGAGTTACAATGAATAGCCCCCTTTATATATTAGTCTTCAAGGGGCTAGTGAGTAAATAATAATTATTACACAAGGCCCTCAATTTATAAGCAAGTCCCTTTCTCTAGAATATTCTACATCTCTAGAATATTCTACATCGCTAGAATCTTCTAAAGACTTTCCTAGAAATTCCATAGAGTCTAAGGTTTTCCATTAGAAATCTCTGTATTTCTCCAGAACCTTCCCACATGTGCTAGTCTATTTTATATGTGAGCTTTCCATATGTCAACAATATATGCTAAGTGGCACTTACGTGGCATGATGATGTGGCGGATCATGACACTCTTCCACACCCAATTATGTGCCGCCGCACTCGGCACAAAGTATCGATATGTACACGTGCATCTCGCTTTGGTGTCGCCGGAGATCTTTGTCCATTAGCTATGATGCCCTATGAAGCGGTTAGCCTTCTCATGTCACAAGGTATTGGACACCTTTCTTCTTGCCCCGTTTGTACTTTGGACGACTAGAAATGATGGCCTAGATCCTCCGCTCATCGGATGCCTCTCCTTTCTCTTGGCTTGAATCTCCCCATGACTCGACCAAGTCTAACAGCTAATCAGGCATCGGGTTCATGCTTCCACTCCCTATTTGGCTGTCCGCCGTAATTCCAGCCTTACTGGCAAACTTGACACCTCTACTTGGTGCATCGTCTAAGTACGATAGCGTGCCATCACTTTGTAACTCGCCATCCACTTCAACTATGTCCGCCCAACATTTCTTGCTGCCACCATGCTTCATTTGCATGGCACCAAGATACGCTTTGGAATTCCTTACTTTCAGCTTAGATTCCAAGCACATCCCCCAATGCAGGTAGTCCCTCCTGCGTCACCCTTGTGTACCTGAGCAAAGTTCCCGATTATTGCTTCAAGCTTCCCCAGCTCTGGGCATTCACTTGACCGATATGATCCTTTACAGAAGTAGCACCATCCTTTAGACATGTACTCGCTACCATTTTCTGGCCCCTTGCCGTTTCTTTTGGACCCCTATCTGTTATGCTACGATCCCTTGCCATTGCCCTTGTATATCTCGGCTATGCCTTTCCCGTTTTCCTTGTTATGATCTCCCCCACCCTTCTCGGCATTGCCTTCTTTGGACTTAGCAGGCTCCATCTTGAAGTTAAGATGCGACTCGGCTACCGCTATGGCCTCGTCCACGCCGGCTACTTGATGTCTTCTTAACTCTCGCTTTATCCAATTTTGCAACTCATCCATGAAGCAGAAAAGGGAATCTTTCTCGGACAACGACGGGATTTGAAGCATTAAGGTAGTGGACTCACTCACATACTCCCAAATTGTAGCCGTCTGTCGGAGCTCCCTTAGCTTCAGCCTAGCCTCGTACACCACATTCATCGGGTAGAATTGCTTCTTCATCTCCTTCTTGAACTGCTTTCTCTTCTCAATCTTGCATAGCCCCTTCTCCATGTCAGCACACTTTCGACGCCACCATAACGCGGCAACCTTGGTCAAGTACATTGAGGCGTTGTGTACCTTAACAACTTCCTCATCCTCCTTGACTACCTCAAAGTACTTGTCCATCCTCCAGAGTAAGTCTGCCACCTCGGGTGCGTCCCGTGAACCGTCATGCTGCTTTCGCTTAGGGACCTTCACATTGGTTCCTTTTGCAAGTACCATGCCCTTGGTTCCCAAAAAACTTCCTTCTAGCCATCTCTTGTATTCTTTCTAACATTCCTTTAGTCATAACCTTGCTCTCATACCATGTTGTCATGTCCTTAGTCTTGAACTAAGCGCACGTGCGGCACTTGAAAACTTTCTCACGATCTTGCACACCTTGCGTACGATCTTTCTATGCCAAGTCAGCCTAAAATATTACACTCAAGATCGCTAAGGGAATGTTAGATAAGAAAGATAAGAGAAATTTACTAAATGAAGCTTGTTATTATAGAGAACTTGGTTGTTTTGCTTGATGAATTACAAATGAATACCCCCTTTATATATTAGTCTCCAAGGGGCTAGTGATTAAATAATAATTATTACACAAAGCCCTTAATATTTACAAGTAAGTCCCTTCTCTAGAATATTCTACATCGCTACAATCTTCTAAATACTTTCCTAGCAATTCTATAGGGTTCTAAGGTCTTCCATGAGAAATCTCTGTATTTCTCTAGAACCTTCCCACATGTGCTAGTCTATTTCATATGTAAGCTTTCCATATGTCAACAAAATATGCCAAGTGGCACCTACATGGCATGATGATGTGCCGGGTCATGACACTCTCTCCCACCCAATTATGTGCCACCGCACTCGCACAAAGTATATATACGTACATGCGCATATCACTTTAGTGTCGCCGGAGATCTTTGTCCATTAGCCATGATGCCTTATGAAGCGGTTCGCCCTCCCATGTCACAAGGTATTGGATACCTTTCTTCTTTCCCCATTTGTACTTTGGACGACTAGCAATGATGGCCTAGATCCTCCGCTCATCGGATGCCTCTCCTTTCTCTTGGCTTGAATCTCCCCATGACTCGACCAAGTCTAACAGCTAATCAGGCATCGGGTTCATGCTTCCACTCCCTATTTGGCTGTCCGCCATAATTCCAGCCTTACTGGCAAACTTGACCCCTCTGTTTGGTGCATCATCTAATTCCGATTGTGTGCCATCACTTTGTAACTCGCCATCCACTTTAACTATGTCCACCTAACTTTTCTTGCTGCCATCATGCTTCATTTTCATGGCACCAAGATAGGCTTTGGAATCCCTTACTTTCGGCTTAGATTCCAAGCACATCCCCCAATGCAAGTAGTCCCTCCTGCGTCACCCTTGTGTGCCTGAGCAAAGTTCCCGATCATAGCTGCAAGCTTCCCTAACTGTCACCATTCACTTGCCCGATATGATCCTTTACAGAAGTAGTACCCTCCCTTAGACACGTACTCGCTACCGTTTGCCAACCCCTTGCCATTTCTTTTGGACCCTTATCCGTTATGCGATGGTCCCTTGCCATTGCCCTTGTATATCTCGGCTATGCCTTTCCCATTTTCCTTGTCATGATCTCCCCACCCCTCTCGACATTGCCTTCTTTTGACTTGGGAGGCTCCATTTTGAAGCCAACGAGCGACTCGGCTACCGCTATGTCCTCATCCACGCTAGCTACTTGATGTCTCCTTAACTCCCGCTTTATCCAATTTTGCAACCCATCCATGAAGTAGAAAAGGGAATTCTCGGACAACGACGGAATTTGCAGTATTAAGGTAGTGAACTCACTCACATACTCTCGAATTATGGCCATCTGTCGGAGCTCCCTTAGCTTTAGCCTAGCCTCGTACACCACATTCATCGGGTAGAATTGCTTCTTCATCTCCTGCTTGAACTGCTCGCTCGTCTCAATCTTGCATAGCCCCTTCTCCATGTCAGCACACTTTCGACGCCACCATAATGCGGCAACCTCGGTCAAGTACATTGAGGCGTTGTGTACCTTAACAACTTCGTCATCCTCCTTGACTACCTCAAAGTACTTGTCCATCCTCCAAAATAAGTCTGCCACCTCGGGTGCGTCCCGTGCACCGTCATACTGCTTTCGCTTAGGGACCTTCACATTGGTTCCTTTTGAAAGTACCACGCCCTTGGTTCCCTACAAAGCTTCCTTCTAGTCATCTCTTGTATTCTTTCTAATATTCCTTTAGTCATAACCTTGCTCTGATACCACGTTGTCACGTCCTTAGTCTTGAACTAAGCGCACGTGCGACACTTGTCAACTTTCTCACGATCTTGCACACCTTTCGTACGATCTTGATATGCCAAGTTAGCCTAAAATATTACACTCAAGATCGTTAAGGGAATGTTAGATAAGAAAGACTAAAGAAATTCACCAAATGAAGCTTGTTATTATGGAGTACTTGATTGTTTTGCTTTGTGAGTTACAAATGAATAGCCCCCTTTATATACTAGTCTCCTAGGAGCTAGTGAGTAAATAATAATTATTACACAAGGCCTTTAATATTTACAAGTAAGTCCGTTCTCTAGAATATTCTACATAGCTAGAATATTCTAAAGACTTTCCTAGCAATTCCATAGGGTTCTAAGGTCTCCCATGAGAAATCTTCATATTTTTCTATTACCTTCCCACATGTACTAGTCTATTTCATATGTAAACTTTCCATATGTCAATAATATATGCCAAGTGACACCTACGTGGCATGATGATGTGGGGTCATGACATTTATCTCTTTTTTCTTCTTCTTTTTTTTTTTTTTTTTTTTTTTTTTTTTTTTTTGCTTTAAGCTCAAGCCCTTAAAATAATTTCAATGGTGAGATTCCATTCTTTTGAAAATCAGTTGTAAATTACATTAATAATGCAAAAAAAAAAA